GTTAGGAAAGGAGTGGTGGTCTTTGCAGCTACGCAAATGCAGAAACCTATACCAACTATTACTGTAATAGGATTGTAGGCAATGCTAATTCTCTATATAATTATGTAACATTTGAATTTTCATATGTGCATTTTGGTTTTATAAATAGAAAGAAGACAATATGTGTAAGTAAGAGAAACAGAATCAATAGAATACACATGTGTGTGCGTGTGTGTATATATTTATACCATATACACAGGATATATATGATATAAAAATATAAGGAATTGGCTTAAGTGGTCATGGGGCTGAGAAGGCCCACAATCTGCAGTTGGCGGGCTGGAGACCCAGGAGAGTCAATGGTTTAGGTCCAGTCCGAGTCTGAAGGCCTGAGAACCAGAAGAGCCAATGTAGGTTTCAGTCTGAAGGCTGGCAGGCTCAAGACCCTGAGACAGCCAACATTTCAGTTTGAGTCCAAAGGCAGAAAATACCAATGTTCCAGTTCAGGGCCGTCAGGCAGGAGGCGTTCCCTCTTAGCCTTTTGTTCTATTCAGGTCTTCAGTTGACTAGATGAGGTCCACCCACACTAGGGAGAACCACCTGCTTTACTAGGTCTAGCTATGCAAATATTAATCTCAGACAGAAACGCCCTCACAGACACACCCAGCATAGTGTCTGACCCAATGTGTAAGCACTCTGTGACCCAGTTAGGTTGACACAGAAGGCTGGGTGTGGTGGCTCACACATAAGGCTGGGTGTGGTGGCTCACACCTATAATCCCAACATTTTGAGAATCTGAAGTGGGAGGACCACTTGGGGCCAGGAGTTTGAGAATGGCCTGGGATATATAGCAAGACCTGCATATCTTAAAAAATAAAAAATAAAAATAGCCAAGCATGGTGGCATGTGCCTGTAGTTCCCAGTTACTCAGGGTGCTGAGGTGGGAGGATTGCTTGAGCCTAGGAGTTCGAGGTTACAGCGAGCTATGATTGTGCCACTGCACTCCAACATGGATGACAGAGTGAGACCCCGTCTCAAAAAAAAAAAAAAACTGCCATAAAATTAACTATCACAATATGATACAATAGCAGTAATGTTATCAGCATAATTCTGGACAGCCTCTACAGGCTGAGTGATCTGGGAGGCAGAGTGGACCCAAGACTTTCTCTACCTGCCATGTTCTGGGGAATCTTGGACACAGAGCTGACTTCTGGCCTCCACAATCCACTCACTGAGAAATGCTCTCCATCTGAGGCCCACCCAAGGCAGCCTCTCATCCTAGATGGCAAAACAAGAGCTGGGGCCTCCACCCCTCAAGGAGCTTCTTCCCTCATAGGCTCCTGCATAGGCCAAGGCAGGGGGAGCCACTTTTTCTTCTCTTTTTTTGAGACAGTGTGTTGCTCTGTCCCCCAGACTGCAGTCCAGTGGCATAATCATGGCTCACTGCAGCCTCGACCTACTGGGCTCAGGTGATCCTCTTACCTCAGCCTTCCGAGTAGCTGGGACCATAGGCACATGTCACTGAGCCCAGCTAAATTAAAAAAAAAAAAATTCTGTAGAGATGAGGTCTCACTGTGTTGACCAAGCTGGTCTCGAACCCCTGGGCTCAAGCAGTCAACTCACCTCTGCTTCCCAAAGCGGCTGGGATTACAGGCATGAGCCACCATGCCTGACTGGCCACTTTCACCAGCGCTATCGAGGAGCCCCCCTGCCCACTGGCCCCCACAGAGCTTGAGTAGAATAGGATGTGCCCCACCCAGTCATCCGAGACTTGTCGGTCAGACTCCTTAACTGAGGCTTCTTTTAGAAGTGGAGAGTGTCACTTCTGAGTCCCAGAAAGTCCAGTAAAAAATGTTTCCAGAAGTAAATGATGATTCCAATGTTGAGCCATGACTTTCCCTTTCACTCTTAGCCACTGTGGCTACACTCAAATTCTTAAGCTTTAGTAGAAATGTGTCCGGAATTGGCTCCTGCCGGTGGGTTCATGGTCTCGCTGACTTCAAGATTGGAGCCACGGACCTTCGCGGTGACGGTTAAAACTCTCAAAGACGGCACACGTGACCAGTAGCAAGGTTTACAGTGAAGAGGAAAAGGACAAAGCTTCCACAACGTGAAAGGAGACCCAACCTGCTTCCCTGCTGCTGGCTGGGACGGCCAGCTTTTATTCCCTTTTTTTGCCCCTGCCCATGTTCCATTTCTGTCCTATCAGAGTGCCCTTTTTTCAATCCTCCCCACGATTGGCTACTTTTAGAATCCTGCTGATTGGTCTGTTTCACAGAGTGCTGATTGGTGTATTTTACGGAGTACTGACTGGTATGTTTTACAGAGTGCTGATTGGTGTGTTTTACAATCCTCTTGTAAGACAGGAAAGTTTCCCAAGTCTCCACTCGACCCAGGAAGTTCAGCTGGCTTCACCTCTCAGAATTATTATTTTAAAATTCAGATTCCTAGATGCAAATATTCAAAAGGTGTGTCAGGTATGGCCAGAAATCTGCATGATTTACTGGAACTCTGTGATCCCTAGAAGCATTGCTTTAGGCCTTCCCAGACCTAGGAAAACTTTAAGAAATTCCTTTTCATGGAGCAAGATCCTTTAGAACCCAGAAGCATATTGGAGTCTCACACATTCTCACACGTGCCACGCTGGAGAAGCCAGACATGAAAGTGAACCCTGCTCGATACCATTTCTACAAAGTTCTAGAACGGGCAAAATTACAGGGATAAAATCCAGTGGCTGCCTGGGAAGGGGCACGGAGAGAACTTTCTGGAAAGATGGAAACATTCTTAATTTGGTGATAGTATCTTAATTTGGTGATAGTTATTACTAGTATATACTTTTGTCAAAAGTCATTGATGTGTACACTTGAAGTTTTATTCTATGTAAATTATACCTCAATGAAATCATTTTGAAAAGCTATCACATAGCAGAAAATAAAATTGATGTTTCAGATTTTTAAAAAAAATCGTGTACATGGCACCACTTATGATTACATCTATGAGTGCACGTGTAAGATTCACTGCCTCATTTATGCATGAGGTATTGAGTGCTCACTGGCCATAAACAAGCCAATATTTTATTTGTATGTTACTTATGTTCTTGCTTTATGCAAGAAATATGACTAGGCTCAGGCCTTTGTGCAGGGAGCTCAGGGAATGAGAAGCACAGGGAATGGCCCTGCTTTCAGGGAACTTGGTTTTTAGGAGATTCCTGCATGTTTGCTGCACCCTCACCTCACCTTAGACTCCTCTGGGTGGAGATACACACACACAGACACACACACACAGATACACACAAACACACACTCCTCAGCAAGAAGGACACACACAGTGACTAAACATAAAACCCCAAAGAGGAAACTCCAGAGGGAGTGAAGCTGTGGGCTTTGACCTCAGGTATCAATTGTGCTCTGAATGTGTGGCCTGAGGACCTTTGGCAATATGTTCCCGAAGGCACCTGTGCATTCTCGAAAGCCCCCAACAGAAATCCCTGCAGACTGCCAGAAACGCTGGATTCTAGCCCCTGTTTTGCCAGTTGACTCACAGGGTCACATGGGGCAATCATAATCCCTCTTAGGGTCTCAGTTTACCCATCTGTAAAGTATTGGACTGGGTGAGAAATTACTAATTATGATTTGGCTCAAGATCCCATTCTTCAAATGAAATCCTTTGTAGAACCCCAACATAAATGGAGGGCATCTATGACTGCAAATGGGGTTCAGGGGCCCATGCTCCTTGTGTCCTCCTTGTCTGCTTTGAGGACCCCTAAGGCTCTTGATAATTGTTTGAAGACTACTAGTCCTACTGAAACTGACTTCACGAAACTCTCCACGACTCCAAATGACCCGAACCCAGCCACCATGACCTCAGAGTAACTCCATCAACCTGAGACTGCACATAACCTCACTCAGGGAACCCCAGTGAGAAATAATTCTGTTAGATGCTCCCAAAAGAGCCCAAATTTCCTCTGAGAATGCCTGCCTGACCAACCACTCAACTGCCTGACCACGCCACGGCCCTGTCTACCTAGGGAAGCTCTTACCTCCAATCCTGCCTTCCCTGTGAATTCAGAAACACCTAGAAGTCAACTCCAAATGGAACTGGCTTATCCTAGGAAGTCCACTCCTAACCTCAGATGATGGAGGCTCCTTTGCTCTGGCATCCCTCCTCTTTCCTAAGACCCTAAGACCCTGACAGGGGAAAGGTCATCATCCTTGTCACTCTGCTTAGGAAGATGCACCACGCACTGTGTTATGCACTTCATGTGGATCACCACCCTACGAGGTGGGCCTTATTGTTACCCTGTGTTAGGATTCTTGTATTGCTATAAAGAAATCTTAAGACTGAGTAATTTATTATTGAAAAGGTTTAATTGGCTTATGGTTCTGCAGGATGTACAGGAAGCATGGTGTTGGCACCTGCTTGGCTTCCAGGGAGGCCTCAGGAAGCTTATGACCATGGCACAAGGTGAAGGGGGATTAGGCATGTCACATAGGGAAAGCAGGAGCAAGAGGGGGGCAGGGGGAGGTGCCACATACTTTAAATGACCAGATCTTGAAATAACTCACTATCAAGAAAACAGCATCAAGCCATGAGAGACCCGTCCCCATGATCCAAACACCTCGCACTATGTCCCACCTCCAGCACCGGGGATTACAGTTCAACATGAGATTTGGCTGGGGACAAATATTCAAACTATATTGCCTCCTTATGCAGCTGAGGGAAACTGAGACTCGGGGTCACTAAGGGGAGGAGCTGGGATTCAGGGTGAAGCCAGTGCTCATGGCACAGGCTGTGGGTGCTAAGGTCGCTTGTATGAGCCTCATTTCTAAGGCAGGGAGGACAAGTTGCCAGCATGATGACATGAAACCGTCCACATGAACGTCCTGAGCATGGCACCCGCCACGGCAAGCTCAGTAAAGATCAGCTCCAAGTTACAGATCCCTCTTCCAGAAACCAGGTACCAGTCTTTCATAGAAAATAGGATTTATTTTCACATTTAAGGTGAACACAAATACATGTTCCAGAAATGTTTTATGTATAATACATCATCAGTAGATTGAATTTCTTTAACACACAGAAAAATCAAAGCCTACCAGGAAATGCTTCCCTCCAGAGCACAGGAGCTTACAGGCCACTTCTGTTAGCAACACAGGAATTCACATCGTCTAGGCACAGCTCAAGTGAGGTTTGTTCCCAGGTTCAACTGCTCCTACCCCCATAGGCCCTCCTCAGAAATGACAGCAGCAAACCAGCGGGCTTCACAGTAACCAGGAGGAAAGATCTCAGCCGAGGGAACCTTCACAAAAGCCCTGAGTTGTGTTTCAAAAGCCAAGCTCTGGGGTCTGTGGTCTGTGTCACCAACTCAGGTCACACCACAGCATGGGGAAGTTAGTGTTGCAGCTTCACTTCTAGTCAATCTTGTTAACTAAATTATCCCAATTAGGAAGACAACATTAAACAGGTATTAGAGTCCTTTTGCAAAACTGACTGTCCCCCTTGGTCAAGGAAAAGACCTTCACTTGGATGCTAACCCATCACCACCACCATGTCCAAGGCACAGATGAATCTGGGTTGGGCAATCACAGGCAATGCTTGATGAGGGGTGACATCATGTCCACAAAGATGCCTAGAAATGAGGTCGTGAGGAAGGGTGGGTATTAGGAAGCAGTGTGGTGGGTCCTGGCCGAGGTCCGACATCCCTGAGCAGCCTTCCTCAGGCACACCATGATGGTGGAGTGGGCACAGATATCATTTTGGGCACCTTGGCTGAGAGCCAAGGCAGCCATCTGGGTGCATGGACATTTGCAGTTGCCACCATCCCAGCACCATGGCCACAGATTAGCTCAACTGGCCACAGTCTGTGATGACAATCTTCTTGGATGTCTTCCCACTCTTAGAGCCGAAAGATTCTATTTTCTTCACGACATCCATGCCCTCTTTGACGTGACCGAACACAACATGCTTGCCATCCAACCTGTGAGGACGGGTGACCCGGGTGAGCAACAGTGTAGTGCAATGTCATCCAATGCCATGGCCCCGGTCATGGAATTAGTTACCGAAAACAGCAATTCTGCAAGGAATCCCCACGTAATACCTGGATCTACCACCAAAGCTCAATCAAGCCTTGTTGAGCGCCCCAGATACACCCCAGAGAATGCCTGGCTTCCAGGACACATTCTGCCACTCATGTTGTGACCTTGCCTCAGGTCACGTAGCCTGAATCCTGGTAACTCCATCTATTAAAAGTGGATTTATTCTTTGTTCTGCACAGGGAGGTAACAGGATAATGAAATGCTCTGAAGAAAGAAGAAGTCCAGACAAATGGAACCACGTTAACGGTCATGAATGATGAGTCAAGAGCCAAAGGAACAAGGGTGGTGAAACTGCAGAGTCCTGGGCAGCTCTCAACTCAAGAGAGTCCAATAATGTAAAAGGCGGCTCAGTTCAGCTCCGGCGAAGCTGGCATGGTTTCAGCCAAGAGCAGAACTGCAGGATCCACTGGGGTCCCATGAAGGAGCAAAGAGCAGGCTGAGCCAGCAAGGACCTGCCCAGCCCTGCCGGCCACATCTCTTAGGCTTGGAGGCTGGACACTTCTAGTGTCCGCCCCACCTAGGTCTCCCTAAAATTCTTGGAAATGGGCTTTACCAAGTCAGCTCCCAGCCAGCTCATCAGCAGGTGCCCCAGGGCTACGACATTTGGGACTCTGGCCAGAGAAATTTATCCCTTAGAGGAAAATGTACCAGGAAAGAGACATCCCTAAAATCCATGGGCATTGAAAACAGGGCCCTTACAGGCCTGTGGCTATCTGCAGGCTTATGGTAATACAGGGGCTTCATTTGGAAATCTGCTGATATCCAAATGTCTGCTGCAGCATTGCCAAGGCTCAGCCCATGGTCAAGACAAGCCTGGGAAACTCCAGGTTAAAACCACACAAGTGGGCTTCTACTCAGTCCCTCCTGAGGCCTCATAATGTTTTGCAACATTTCCCAGATGTATCTGGTAGAGAAACCCTTTCGTGTGTGCGTGTGAGCAGAATACACGGAGAAAATTCCAGATGACAGCAACAATGGGAACCCAAACCATGACAGAATTGCAGGAACAACTGCGATTCTCCTTTGATCCTTCCACTAACTTTCTCTTTCTCATACAAACACACAGCCTGGGAGAGGGCCACTGTTCCAGAGCAGATGGCCTGGCTGTAAACTGCCTGCCCCTAAAAGTGCACAAATCCTCCTCCAGCTGCAAGGCTGCCCACATTCCCAGAGGGCCTGGGGCAGGGAACTCACCAGTCTGTCTTTATGGTGCAGATGAAGAACTGGGAGCCATTGGTGTTAGGACCAGCATTAGCCATGGACAGGACACCTGCAAAAACCAGCAGAGCTGAGCCACGCTGCCCCTGGAGGCACCTGCCGGGGAGGACATTAGAAAGGGCAGACGGTGCAAACCACACCAGGGACATTTGAGTCTGCAGATCCTGGGACCCAGAAGAGGAGAACCAGGGCCCGATACCAGCCCCCCAGGGTGTGTCTGCCTTTGCTGTCCGCTAGTTCTCAGTGGGGTGGCCTGAGAGGACAGGGCCTTGTGGAAGCTCTCAGTGGTAGGGCTGGGGCGGGACCCGGGACAGGACCCCAGGCCCTGACCTCCAGACTTCTCCACCTACCACTTTGGGTCTTATAGGTGACAAGATGCTGCCACAATAACCACCCTGGCTTCCAAACAATTTGCTTTTTGTCTAAGCAAGATTTTAAATCTTGCAACAATTCTTTTTTTCTGCAACAATGTTTTTTTTGAGATGGAGTCTCGCTCTGTCGCCCAAGCTGGAGTACAGTGGCGTGATCTCGGCTCACTGCAAGCTCTGCCGCCCAGATTCACGCCAATCTCCTGTCTCAGCCTCCCGAGTAGCTGGGACTACAGGCACCCGCCACCACACCCGGCTCATTTTTGTGTTTTTGGTAGAGACGGAGTTTCACCATGTTAGCCAGGATGGTCTTGATCTCCTGACCTCGTGATCCACCCGCCTCAGCCTCCCAAAGTGCTGAGATTATAGGCGTGAGCCACCGTGCCCGGACCATTCTGCAACAATTCTAAGTGTCCTAGAATTTCCAACCCGAAACTCAAGAGGACAGACAGGGAGGTAGCCAAGGCCTCCATTCTGCTTAAAGGTTCTTCCGCAAAGTTCCCAAAGGAAACCCTGCTTTTTAATCTGAGAGACGAGAAAACTCTAGGGAAACTCAACAAGCCAGAAATGCTGAGACGGCCTGCAGTGCCGCAGGGAGGAAGGGCCTCATCAGATACTGGGCGGTGACCGCATGTGGCCTCTCAGGGCCTGCTGGGGCTTCCAGGCCAGGTCAGAGCTGTGGGGACACTCACCCTAGAGGCGACCCCCACTCACCCGGCCCCACGTGCTTCAGTGTGAAGTTCTCGTCAGGAAAGCGGCTTCCGTAGATGGATTTCCCGCCTGTGCCATTGTGGTTGGTGAAGTCGCCCGCCTGTGAGCACACAGCACCTTCTGAGTGGCTGCCATGGAGCAGACGGGGGCCACGGCCCCGACACTGGCAGCGGCCTCAGCCCACCCAAGCCCACCCAGTTGGTGCCCCTCAGGTAAAGCGGTCAATAAACATCCAATAAAATTAGAACTAATAATAAGAAAAATAAGCAAAAAAAGAAAAAAAAAAGACTAAACTTAAATATCTTTTGTCACAGTAACTACCTTTGTTTCCAAATGACTTACTTTTTGTCTGAGCAAATTTTTAGGTAATCTTCAAAGGACCTAATGGCCATTCAGAGATGATACTTAGTGACCCAGAATTTAACCCACTCCTCCTGGAGGGCAACAAGGAAGAGGCCAGAGGCCCCGCAGTTCCCGTGTCTAGTCTGTGGGAGCACCAGCAGCTGGTCCAGACCAGCTCCCCATGCCAGGTCCCCTCACTGTCCCCGCACTGCCCCTTACCCAGCCCAGCAGCTTCCCCAACCCTTGCAGACCCAGGACAGAGTCTGCCCAGGGCTGGCATCCTTCCTCAGGCCTCAGCTAAGGCCCGGGCAGCCCTGGCCAAACCTGCATGGGGCACCCATGGCCAGAAGAGCCCGGTAGCAGCCCCTATGCCTAGTGCTGCCCAGCCCAGGCCATGGCTGGCTGCTGTTTTCCTGAGATGGGATCCTTGGGTGAGAGAGGGAACTGACCAGCTGAAGCATCCGCAGGTGTTAATTAGGTGCTCGCTAATTGATATCCCTCCCAACGGATAACTCAGGACCCTGGCCTGGACTCCCAGTGCCACCGCCTTGTGCCAGGGAGCCCTCCAGCTCTGGAGTCCCCAGCCTGGCTCAGGACTTCCACCTCAGCTCCTGCTTTACCATCAGCCTCAGGGCTGGGCCAGGCCTGCCGTCCCTGTGTTCACCCCATATCCAGGCCTCACCGCACACAGACGTCCAGCCCCAACCCACCGCCCCTTAGCATGATACAATGACAGCCACTGGGTCAGGGTAGAAGGAATGGGGAGAGAATTTCAGGCAGAAAGGTCTTAAAAGAGGTCATGACAGCCATGTCGCTGCCTCCAGGCTCTGCCTGCCTAGGATACCCAATCCCTGATCTTGAAGATCTGTGCTAATAGAGGACCAGCCCCAATACCACCTGGGTCCTGACCCCCGGGAAGCTCCTGCTGCAACACCTACCCCCAAACCTCTGACACAGCAATACCAATGCTTGCGAAAACCGAGCATGGCACATGACTGAAAAACATTCATTTCACCGAGAATAATGCCTTTCTCTGGGAAGGGAAGCTCCAAGTCCTGGCATGTGTGTTCCTGCCCTGGACCCGTCTTCCTCCTCCACCTCCGCCGCTTCTCCCTCTCCCCCTCTTATCTCCCACACCAGTGCTCAGGGGCATGCAGGGGACAAGGTCAGAGACCACTGGAATATGCTGGTTCTTCAAAGCCTTCAGGGCCACCCCCAGCACATCCATCCCCCAACCCAGCTCTGCCTTGATAGACTCCACCTCCCAGTCCCCTGGGCAGGGCCTGCCACTGGCCTGGAGTGGCAATGGGTTGGGGCTGGACTTCCATGTGCAGTGAAGCCTGGATACAGGGCTAATGCAGGGGGGGCAGCCTGACCAACAGAGCAACTGCAGCTGCCCTGCTCAACACCTTCCTCATGCCAGGCATCTTCACATACCCACAAGGCAGCTCCTGCTCTCATCCCCCCTTACAGAAAAGGAAACCATGTTACCTGGCACATGAAGGAAGGGATCACCCTGTGGAAGGTGGAGCCTTTGTAGCCAAAGCCCTTCTCACCAGTGCACAGGGCTCTGAAGTTCTCTGAGGGTCGAAGGGAGACACAGGTTAACACGGCCAGGCTCCAATTCCCGGGTCATACCCATTCCAGCCAAAATCCCTGCTACATCCCCAGCAGTGAACAGGGGGATAAAGACCTTGGCACCTCTTGGGTCTGCTCTGCCCAACTCGCTATGTAACTGGACAAGTCACTCCCCTTCCCTGACCTCAGTACCTGAGCACTGTGACAAGAGTACAGGCTCATGGCTGTGCTGGCAAAAGCAGGGCAGCGACTCAAGGGCTATGTGCGCACCACCCTGCCTCATTGGGGACCAGGAGTGGGGAAGTCTCTGGGAAATTTACGTGTGCCTTCCACCGGCTCTGAGGCTCCCAGCTACTATGAGAGAGGAGGGCAGAGCCAACGTTGAGGCCCAGAGAGGGATGGGAAGAGCTGCCCCAGGGCACCCAGTGGCTGAGCCACACATGGAGCTCCCATTCGTCAGGGGTCTCTGAGCCCCGATTCTTCTCACTACGCCACCCACCTTGCCCTGCCTGGCCCCCTTCCCATCTCACAAGGCCCCACGCCCTGTCTTACCAGCTGTCTTTGGGACGACATCTGCCTTCAGCTGTTGGGGGAGAAGAGGGACAAAAGTGGGTGGTCATTGGAGAGACAGGTGAAGGTGGATGTCTCTCAGCACCCGCCCACCCACCCCCACAGCGGCCAAGGAGGCTGAGGAAGAAGCACGTGGACATTCCATTCCCATTATTGCCAACCCGCATAGGTGGCAGCTCTATCATTTCTGGGAGCCATTTCCTGAACCCAAGGCTGGAGGAGGTGGCCTTGGTTTCCTAATCTGTCAGAAGAGATGACAATGCTATCTTGGCCTACTTCTGTGGACACAGCTGGCACTGCTCCCACAGCTGGGCCCAAAGCATCAGAAACTCGGGCAAGAAAGTGGGTCTAAGGTAGGAGCCAGACCAGCTCTTCGATTTGGGGATGGTAAACTGAGGCCCAGGGAAAGGCATGCTCCCAGGGAGGGGCAGTGCTCCTACAGCTGGGCCCAAAGCATCAGAAATTCAGGGACAAGAGAGTGGGTCTAAGGCTCCTCCATTCGGGGTTGGGAAACTGAGACCCAGGGAGAGGCATGAGGGTGTGGGGAGGGAAGGCTGAAGCCCCATCCCAGCCAGCCTCTAGCCTCGAAGCTGCAAGACCCACCCTTGAACCAAATGGAAGCAGGAAGGGTGTCCCTATTTTCCAGAAGAAACTGAGACTGAAAAAGAAATACCAAGGGCTCCCTGAGAAAAGGGCCAGTCAACACGAACTGACCTCTGCTGTCAATGTGAGGCCGGGCTGAAGGCTCCACTAGGGCTTTCCCTCTAAAGTTACCCTGATGACTGTTTCTTACTTTGCTTTATAAAAGACCCAAAGAGTTTGGGCAGGTGCTGAGTGTGACTCCCAAGGACGGTGGCAGGGCAAGGTTCCGGGCACACTGCCTCTGAATGTGTCCCAGCTCGCAGGAGGGGCATTCTGGGGTCCACCAGGTGGCCGGGCCCGAGGCCTACTGGGCCCGCACTGCTGCTGGAAACCACTTCTCGCTCCATTTCCCAGCACCCCGAGTGTGAGCCCGACCGCGGGGGCGGGGTCGGGGCCAGGGCGCGCTCCGCGTTGTGCAAGGGCCGCCACGTGAGCACCCGCCGGGCCACAACGCTCACCCCAAGCCCCCCGACACCCACCTCAGAGCTCCGGATCTAGGCTCAGCCCCAGAAAACTCCTGGAGCCCCTCTCTCGTCCCGGGGCCGGCCCAGGGGTGCTGGGCCCTCCCTCTCTGCGATCTGACCTTGAGCTTTCTCCTCCACGCGTGCCCTCCCTCCCGTCTCCCCGGCTCCAGTGCTCCGAGGGAGGCCGGAAGAAGCCATTCTGACGCCCATTCTCAAAATGGGGAAACTGAGGCCCAGAGCCCGGCAGGGGGAGGCCCAAGGTCACCCAGCGCGCCCGGCACCGCGCCGCCCAAAGCCCAGGGCTCTCCCCGGGCCCGTGTCTCGCGCCCAGGCCGGCCCTGCGAGCGGTCTCACCTCCAGCACCACGCGGCCGAGCGGCTGCCCGTCGGCGCCCACGTCCAGGTACACGAGCGGGTTCCCGGAGGAGGAGGAAGAAGACGGGTCGCCGGCCCCCTTGCTGCAGGCGCGGGCCGCGGGGAGTCGCAGCGGCACGGAGCGCGGCACGGAGAGCAGGCCGAGCCACCGCGGGCCGCAGCGCAGCGCCAGCATCGCGGGCGAGGGTCGGGCGGGAAACGGGCAGGGAGAACACACAACTCTGAAAAAGAGGTCGCGCGCGCCCAGAAGGCCGAGTCCCGCGCAGCCGCGCGCCGCAGCCTTTATTGGCCTGGCCAGGTTTGCGGCCCCGCCCTTGTCCCGCCTCCTCCGGGCTTGTCCGTGGGCGACCCCTGCCGGCCGCAGCGCGCAGCGCAGCCAGCCGGTGGGGCCGCCGGGCGTGAAATGCTTTGGAACACTCCCGCCTCCAGGCCCAGAGACCCGGAGAACAGACACCACCCGGCAAAAGGATGCTGATTCCATGTTTATTAAGGTACCAGCAGACTTTTCTTAAAAAGGAAAAACTGCTAAAACGTAATTAACTCAAAAATATGAGCATCTACACGTTGCAATTTGAATATAATAACAAAAGTCTACCTTTGAGCCCTTTATAGGTAAGGCTCAGGGCCCTTTATAGGTAAGGCTCAGGCCAAATAAGCTTCCCTGCTGCCCTAGGTCCTGCAGTCCGAGAGGGTTAGAGAAAGGTGAGATGAGAGGCGGGATTAGTGAGCCAGAGGCGCAAGAGGGAGGAGATAAGCTGAGACACCTCCCATGATGCCCCCTAGCCTGCTTGTCCCGGCCTGGGCCTGTCTCTAGTTATTTCTAGGGACCAGACCTGCTTCCAGCAAGACTGAAAACGCAGCCTGGGCTCATCATGCTCCTTCCAGGCCCCCAGCCCTCCCCAGGACTGGTTCTGATCACTCCTCCTAGGACCCACACTGACAGCCCCCGTACCCGGCCAGCCAGGGCAGCCACCTGCCCCCTCCCATCAGCATGCACCCCGGGAGGGGACTTAGTGGGGAGACCCACAGCAGGAGCATTTAAGCCCCATGTGCTGAGAGTGGGCTTCCCAGCAGCAAGAGCCACCCTCACTGCAAGGTGGTGGGAGGCCTGCAATAAATGGATGCCAAGCAGGGACTTGAGAGGGCATCTGGCCCAACACTAGTACTGTCCCCAGGGGAAGCTGAGGCCTGGACACAGGAAGGCACTGGCTAGGGCTGGGGAGCCCTAGAGTCCTGCTGCCAGCTTGCGCCAGTGCTCCAGGCCTCTCTGGGCCTCAGTTTCCCATCTGGAGGGTAAGGGTGTGATCATGCTCCTCATTCTGCTTTTGTCTCAGGTCTGTTCTTAGGATAAAATGAACTAGAGAGAGATGGATTTGTCAACTAAGTACTGTGCCTGTGGGCATCTGTGATGGGTACAGTCTGGACTGTCTTTCTCAGGGTTTGGGATTCAGAGAGCAGTGGTCTCAGAGCCCTGAGTGGCCAGAGAAAGGGGTGGGGCTGAGCCTTGGAGGCAGGTGGGCTTGAGCAGGGACCAGCTCTGGACTGACCTGCCCCAGATTCTGAATGGGCTCATGGGAATAGGTCGGGCAGCAAAATGCCAGCCAAGCAAATTCACGAGGTCAGAGCAGTGTCCTAGCTTCATGAGAATGCTGGCTTGGCCTCTGGAAGTTTGGCTAGCTTGGCTTCTGGAAGTTCATAGCCCCCTTCTCTGATTCCTGGCCTAGGAGGGGCCTAGGGACCCAGCGAAGCCCAGGTGGGATGCATTCTAGGTCCCAGCCCAGAAAGGGGCCTCACTCTGCCCTGAGGAGCAGCCCCTCCTTTCTCATGACTGTGCCCTGAGGTGAGCAGGCCTGAGTGGGGAGCCCACTTGAGCCCTCAGCACATGTCCCAGACCCTCCTCTACCAGTGCAACCTGATTTGAGAGCAGAGGAATCACGCCAAGTGCCTTGTCATGAAGCTTCCTTAAGGCCCCAGGCTTCCCTGCGGCCAATTCCAGGCCCTGAGCTCACAGGACCTTCAGCCACAGCGGGTGGCTCAGCGTACCCTGTTGTTTCTCAAGCCTGCTCCTAGGGGAACTCAGTTTACGCTCCATCCTGATGAAGCGTGAGCAGCCCCACTCCAGGGGAATGCTGCCTTCATTCACTTGACCACTTCAGTTCTCAGAACCCTTTCCCAGCTGTGAACTCTGTCTAAGAGGCAGCTCTGTTTTGTAGATGGGGAAACCAGGCCTGGGGAGTGAATTACCCAAGGGCAGGCTGTTGGAGCTGGGACCAGTCTGTCTGACTTCACAATCAGGGTTATTGCATGTCAAACCCTTCTCACTCTCACCATGAAGCTGATCCTTGGGACAGGGTGAGGAGGCAGGAGAGATAAGCCTGGGCAGACAACACAGTAAGATAGAAACCGTGGGGTTGGCCAGGGGGCTGTGGCACTCAGGGCCTAGGGAGGTGGTTTAATAGTGAGCATGAGCTGAAAGGCCTTTGGGGACCTAATCGCAGAGGGCTCTGACGGCCTGGCTGAGGTCTGACATTGTTGGATAGCACTGGGGAGTCATCAGTAGTGCAAAGATTCCATGCTTAGGACTCTGGACTGGGAACCAGCTTCTTTCGTTCATGTTACTCCTTCCACTCTCTTTGGAAAAGCAAACGTCATCACTACCTCCGGTCTGAGCCAGAGAAAAGCCTACCTTCCCCAAAGGCTTAGCTATGATGTCATCCCTTCCTGTGCTATTCTCAGTGGTATTAGGAAGAAGGAAAGTTCATAGGCTAAGCCATGAGCTGAACACGTGCCCAGCCCTTGAGGGCTCCAGGCCCAGGTGACATCAGGCAGGTGTTAGCACTCACCTGGCTCCGAGGCTATTTACAGACTGTCATCCTCAGAAATAGCAGTGTTTCTCTCCGCTCAGCTCACCTAGTTTTTTATCCAAGGTGCTGATGGGTTTTGTCACGTAGGGATCCTGTAATACCACCTCTAGGCCTCACAAAGCCATAGAAAAATCAGTTTGTGCTAAGCTGAGAATCTCATTCAGGGGTTGCAAACTCAGATGCCTGTGGGGGCCAGGCAGGTGATACACATGAGTGGTGCAAGCTGGTAAGGATGTAGGGAGTGAGGGGAGGTGGCACTGTAGCCAAATAGCTAATGGATGTCCCAGGTAAAGAGTTAGCTGCTGCCCAGGCCAGCCAATTGTTGTATATAGGACTATGGGTCCACATAGGCCACCCAGGTTTTCTCATCTTTCAATAAAAGCTGAAGACTTTAAGTTTTATAGAAATCTAGTTTTCAAATGTTTGAAATGAATTTTAAAATAAAATTAAACACTGAATGAACTGTAAACAACATATCCAAACTAGATGAGGACTCTGGACCAATAGTTTGTAAGCTCTGATTTCCACTATACAGGTGAGAGGAATGAGACTCAGAGACGGATGGGGAATGGCCCCAGGCCACGCAGCTGGGCAGTACCAGGACTGTGGTCAGACCCTTTCTTCACTCTCCCCATGGCCTTTTCTGCAAAGTTCACTCAGCAGACATGATTTCAGAGCACCTACTGTGTTCTGAGCCCTGAGCTTCACCCTGGGGATTCAGAAGGACAAAGGGACAGGAGGTTACGGTGCCCTGAGATGGTGGAGCTGCTGAACGAACCTCTCCCAGGTGGCCCTGTGTGTGACAGGAGTGAACGCTGTGGTTGTTGTGGGGTACAAAGTTACAGCTGTTCTGGAGAGGCCCTCCAGGAGGGGCCGGGGGTGAAGGTAGCCCCGCTGTGGGCATGAGGTGGGGTTTCTATAATATTAAATATCATGAAGGCTGAGATCATTGTCAGTGCCAGTCACCGGGTCATACAACCTGTGCTGCCAGCCTAGACAATGGTCCTCAGATAGGATGAGGCCATGGACTTCATCTGTCTGGTTATGCTTGAGGGGTTTGAGGTCCAGGATAGCATCTGTCATGGGAAGGGAAACTGAGAGAGAGGTTCGCTGCAACTCAGAAATCCACCAGACCCTGCTAATGGGCTGCTGTGGGACTCTCTGGGGATGGAGTGTCCCCCGTGGCCTTTGTAAAGTCAGTACATTCATCATCCTCTCTCTGCTGGCTTCTAAGAACCAGACCATGATGGGGAGGCAGAGGCAGAGAAGGGAGGTTCCACTGAGGCCCAGGGAAGTGGTGGGAGAGACCCACAGGGGGAAGATGGGGGGAAGCTCTCCTCTGGAGTCCAGCTGGACTTTGAAAGTTATTCATGTGATCTGGGTCACTGCAGGCCACTGAGAGTGGAGCCAGCATGGTAGGGTGGAGCTCAGCAGGGTGTGGCTGACCCTCAGCTGCTGGGCTCTCACACAACCTGCCTGGCCACAGCCCCCCCCGCAACTCACAACTCAGCAGAGCTCGATTATATCTGCGAGATAATCCATGTTTGTTGTTTGAAGCCACTAAGTGCCGGGTCATTTGCCATGTGCAATAGATAACTCATACCCATAGGACCCCGCCCCGGCCAGGGCTCCTGGAAGATCCCGTTGCTCCATGCACAGCTAGTCCTGGATCTGCTGTCTCAGCGAGCTTGGTCACCAGCTCTTGGCAAGGACCTCACAGGCATGGTCAGGGAGAACTGGCCCAAGAGACAGGACTTCCTTGTCTTTGTAAAGACGTGGAGTGGGCTGGCTATTTCTGTCTCATGCCTCTGAGGGAGAATGAATGAAGCTGGGGAGGATGGAGGATCTGGGAGAAAGTCCTCAGTGGCAGGGCCTGAGCTGGGTCTGGCCGTGGCATCCTATTGGCCTCTGGGAAGGGGACAGGGCCTCACTTTATGCCTCCGTGCTGGGCGCTCTGCACTTTGTAGATGTTGTTCTGAGCCTCAGGGTGACCCTGCAAAGTGGAGCTTGTTGTCCCTGCCTTACAAATAAAGGAATGGAGGCCATGAGAGATTAATGATGTGCCCAAGGTCACACTAGGGCCAAGCGGAGAGTGGAATTCTTCCCAACTGACCTGGCTCTGTGTCTCCAGGGGCAGGTAGGCTCTGAGTGGTGCCTCTGAGCTGGCTTGTGTCAGACATCATCCCCTCCACGCAGCCTTTTCTTCCAGCTAGCCTGACACTGTGCTTAGTGATTGAGATCCATGATCCTATGTAGTCCTCACGATAACTCTGCAAGGGAGGGTCTGTTGTCTCCAGGTGGACACCAGGTGGACACCAGGTGGCTGAGCTGGGTTTGAACCCAGGCCTGGCTGACTCCACATCTGCACTCCCTCCCACTGACTGGGTCTTCTCA